TTTTTTTTTTTTTTAAATGTTTATTTAGTTTTGAGAGAGACAGAGCGTGAGCAGAGGAGGGGCAGAGAGGGGGACACAGAATCCGAAGCGGGCTCCAGGCTCCCAGCTGTCAGCACAGAGCCCGACGCGGGGCTCGAGCTCGTGAACCGAGAGATCATGACCTGAGCCGACATCAGGAGTTGGACGCTTAACCAACCGAACCACCCAGGTGCCCCTTAAGATTTTATGTCAAGGTCATGTCTACACCCGAGACCAGGCGTCGCACAGAGCGCCCGCTGAGCCAGCCAGGCTTCCCCGCAGCGCCTTCTTGGAGCCACTGGTCCTGGTGCCCGGTCTCCTGCTGCCGCTCGCTCGGGTTGGTTGGTCGTTAGTTGTGGCCCATGCTGTGCTGCACCTCAGGGCATCCCTTCGTCAACATCTGGGAACGAATGCCCTTCCCACCCTGCCTGTGTGAGACCCGGCTCCCGGATGCACGTGTCACTTTGTGGGGCACATCTCCAAGAGCTCCCCGAAACCCGGTGCCTGGGAGGGGAAGGCTTTGTGTCACCGACTGGCGGGCGGGCTCTTTATCCTGTCCCGCTCTTTCTTTCTGTTTGCCTGGGGGTAGGAATTTGGGATGGAAAACATCTTGTTCAGGATTTTCCCAGGTCCCCTAGCTCCCAGTGTTGCTACTGGGAAGTCAGAGATACAACTGACTCTTTTTTATTTCATTTTTTTAAAGTTTATGTATTTATTTTTGAGACAGAGAGAGAGAGCACGTGAGAGAGACAGGGGCAGAGAGAGAGGGAGACAGAGTCCCCAGCGGACTTCACGCTGTCCGCACAGAGCCCAGCACGAGGCTCGAACTCATGAACCGTGAGATCATGACCTGAGCCCCCCAGGCGCCCCGAGTTGCAACTGATCTTGGAGCCTTTGCATGAAGGTGAATCTGCAAAGGTCTGAGAAGGTTTCTTGTACTGTTTCTTTGAGAACTTCCTCCCACGCCCTTTCCCCTGTCACTTGGGCGCCTGAGTTGTTTCTCTTTCACATTTTTCCCCCTTATTCCTCAACTCTTCGTCTACTTAATGTGTTTCCTTGGGGATTTCCACACCTGGGCTTCCCATTCCTTTGATTGTTTTTACTAACCTCTATTTAATTTCTGAGTAATTAAATTTCTAATTTATTTCTAATATCATCTTCTTGTTTCATAAATCCTGACTTACCTCTGAAAATATGTTACTAGGGCACCGGGCTGGCTCGGTCGGTGAAGTGTGCAACTCTTGACCTCGGGGTCGTGAGCGAGCCACACGTTGGGCGTAGAGATTACTGAAAAAGAAAATAAACTTAAAAAAAAAACAAACAACTAATCAGTTACCATTTTTTTAAATTGAGGTTTTTCTTTTGTATTTATTTATTTATTTATTTATTTATTTATTTTAAGTAAGCTGTGCACCCAACGTGGGGCTTGAACTCACAACCCCGAGACCAAGAGCCGTACATTCTGCAGACCGAACCCGCCGGGTGCCCCTCAGTCACCATTTCTTTCTTTCTTTCTTTTTTAATTTTTTTTTTTTAATGTTTACTATTTTTGAGAGAGACAGAGAGCAAGCAGGGGAGGGTCAGAGAGAGAGGGAG